GGGGGGGGGGGGACATGTATACAAGCTTATCCCCAATTTTTTTTGGCACATATGCAAACAAAAGTCTCAGAAGTCTATGAAGGCGGACGGTGTGTTCTAACTAGGACTAGCCTCTCGGGAAGTTACCTGTGTGTGTGAAATATTTTGTAGCTGGAACAAGTCACCCAAACTGTCTTTTCTCTGCAATCAACCAAATAATACATGCATGCAGGATTTGATGGAATTCGTTCAAGGCTTCATGCCCACTTTTTTCCCCTGTGACTTTCTTCACCGTGCAGCCCACTGGCGTCTCCGGGAGTAAAGGCAAACCTGGCAGGACATCATTTACTCGAGCCCTGGCAGACAAGGCGGGGGACATGTTTGACGTCACTCCCGTGTCTGATTCGGATCCAGATGAAGATCACGATTACTATTGGTCGGACGAAGAACATTGAAGATTAATGAGCTCATTGTGAACTGCTGTTTCCAGATTTGGAAAACTGCTCCAGTGAAGTTTGGATTTCTCGCTGAGATTTGGATCTCCATTTTTCTGAAAAAACATACAAAGTTCAGGAAAACTTTCAGTCACCAGCTTTGCAGTGTGTTAATTGACAGGGTTCCCCTGGCCTGCAAAAGTCATGGAAATTTGTTTTCGTTTTCCAGGCCTGGAAAAGTCATGGAATTTTTCAAACATAATGTGTGATTTCTATTAGCAGATATAAGTGCATAAAATGCGTGATTTTATTCGCAACTTTAAAGTCTGGATAGTCCAAGAAATTGGTCATTGAATCAGGGATATTCATAATTTGGTCATGGAAAAGTCATGGAATTTATTTGTCCTGTAGGTGCAGGAACCCTGATTGAGTTCTGTCGCGAGTCTGTTCACAATTCCACTCACAAGAAGCCAGGACTGTGCAGAATTATCAAATCTTAAAATGTTGTTTTCAAACTCCAACCCTCAGAGGTGAACATCAGGAAAATCAACAGGGAAAACCTACAAAAGTGCCTTTTAATGCCGTGTTTTAAGGATTTTGGGAGCAGCCTGAGAGGCAGCAAATGCATATGCCCAACAGCTGGGCCAACATAAATGGATTACTTTTTATTACTTTGTGGTCCATGATTTCGCTGTAACTAAGGGAACGGATTCTGGACCAAACATCATTTAGACTGTCCACCTCTTTTAGGCGAGAGACTGCTGCCCTTAAATTCAGTGAGGTATTACTGTCTGACAAAGATGAGTGTGTCATTTCAGTTTTGGTGGGGGTTCGGGATAACCAAACATTTGACCAAATATTCAACCTAATTCCTAATCCTGAATAGTGTGACATATGCCGTAGTCGATCTTACCCACGCGTGGCCTGCAACACCTTGACTTAATTTCTTTGTACGTAGGAATGAAAATTGTCACTCTGAGTCTTGTTTTTTTCCATGTTTCTGCTTTCATCTCTCTGCATTTTTGATTATGTTTCACTTGGGAAGTTTTTCCATGCCTCTAGGCATGAATTGTTTCTTTCCGATAAAAAGATAATCTGGTTTTTTTTGTGTTTGCTTTTTAACATTTTTTAAATGGATGCAATCTTTCAGCACTGTTGCAGCGTGACAGTATTTTACCATCTTTGTTCTGTCTGTCTTCGAAAAAAATTGAATTGTTTATAAATCACCCTTAAAAGGACAAGGTTCCTTTCTTGGCAATTTACCCAGTTGCCAGTTTTGTGTTTGTTTTTTCCTGAAGTTACTGGGCATTTCATGCAGCCGTAGTGGTGGATTTTATTTGTCTTTTTTCTCTGGAAGATACCAATGACTGCTGTTCATTGAAATGTATCACCGTCTACCTTGACTAATATCCTGTATAGATGTCAATTACGAACCAGGCATAAAAATGAAGACCTATGTAACGTGTACATGTATTTCAGTTCACACATCAGATATAAAGACTAGATACACTAAACATCGGTTGTGAAGGATTCTGTGTTAGTAATTGTTCGTAATATTCAATTTTGAATTACTTTAATATTGAAGAGCCCTTAACCTTAAAACAGCCGGGGTATTTCGGACCATTTCACATCTGTGAAGGGGGGGGGGATAATGGAACTAGGCTATACCAAGCCAGATTTTACGAAAAGCATGTAAAACCACCCCTTTTTAGCCAAAAAAAGTAGAGTTTCAACTCGACCTGACACACAGTGTTGTTACTGTCATTTGAAGATGAAGGCCTCGCGCCAGCCTGCGCGCATTTAGTACAGCGGTGGAACATTATGTATTTCTGCCAGACTTTTTTCAGAAATAATGTAGCAATAAGGTATGTTCCATTTTCACAAAATTGGTGTCAAAATGACTGCAAAGAGTTAGCGTACCTCAAAGGCATCCTAATGGCTCGGCTTATGAACAACATGCACTGCGGAGATATCGGAAAACAAAATGCTGAGGGGCGGATTTTGCCCCAGGCTCGTTTCAAGTTAACATGGTTCAGTGAAAATTGAAAATTTGGTTTGATGGCAGGAACATTTACAAGAACTGCAATAAGAAATTTAAGTCTATCTATGCAAATTATCTTTGCGTACCTTTGTATAATCCAGTCTCATAGTGGTTGTCTATTTGCTCCTGTAAAACTTGCTTGTAGTTTACAGATATTAACTTTGTTAAATGATTGCTGACTTATACCGTGAAACGGCTGTTAACGCATTTTAAACTTACAAATCTAGGAAGTTCAGCCAGTTTTTTTTAGAATGATAAACAAAAAAGGCAGTTACTCAGATAATCTCTGCATTCTCTGGATAATAAAACCTTACCCCCAATGCAACATACAAGAAAAATCCAAAGTGAATTTGCCTTGGGTGGGTTATAAAAAAATCAGAAAGTCGGAGGTAATTTGAAATGTGGTCATCGGAATTCTGATAAAGAAGGACTTTTTGGCACTCTTATTTACACCGTTAATTTCTTTTATATTTCTAGCCTAAAAGAGACTTCCAAAGAATCTGTAAAATTTTGCAGCAATTGTGCACCAACTGTGGACTGTTTATAAGTTAATTTGAAAAGGAATAGTTTTTATTGCTTGAGTGATTTACTCCAAATTAGAATTAAGAATTCAGATGATGTTTTTGTACTAGGCTTAATCAATCTTTATTTCTGGTTCTAAAAATAGTGAAGCAGTCATCACAATTTGGCTAAAGGTAAACGAGAACACCACATTTCTTTGAAGACACGCTTTGTTATTTTTCATTAAACTTATTTTACATGATTGGACTTTCTGACCTTAAACATGGGGAAGTGCGTAAGTTTTGGATCTAAAACTCTAACTCCATGTATCCTGATTCCGAGGACTGTGTACAACAGAACTAGGGAAAGTCACGAAGTCCAGAAGCGACAAACGTTGCATAGCCCTCCTCACCTGAAAAAGGTGGTTTTGCTTTGACAATCGGTTGAGGGATTCGCCAATACGGGCCTTTCACAATAGTCTGCCTCCAAGAGTTTGCAACGCGTTGGCCAATCACAGTGCGTGAAATCTGTCGCGTTTGGAAAGGGTCGACAGATTTTGCGCGTTGTGATTGGCCAACGCGTTGCAAACTCTTGGAGGCGCACTATTGTGAATAATCGCCCATATTCTCTAGTTCACACCGATACTCCCGGTCAGTCCTTTCAGAAACTGTTCCGACACAAATGAAAAGACGTACACTCAGGTCAACTGAACATGTGTATTAGATTTCAACACATGAAATAAATGTATTTTAACACGTGGACAATTTCTGGAAGTGGAGGGCTTTTTACAACGTGTCGCCATGACATGCGGCAGCATCTGCCACTGCCATGCATTGAAGCTGCATTATTTTTTACAGGCCCGCGCTTAATACCACGCATGCGACACACTGTACATGTACATAGAGCACGCTCTTTGTGGATTGCAGGCCTACATGTATTAGGTGTGTCATGCATGGTCCGGGCCTGGCGAAGCTCATGTGTAAGCACCAAAAAAAGGACAATATCATGTCAAATGACAGAATGACAGTCATAAATGGTTTCGAAAAACCATACCTTCAAAGACTTCTATAAGATGTGGCATGCCCCATAAATAAACACCATGTGTTCTCCATCTTCAGCCCTTTTGCCGTAGCATGCTTACCGGCCATTCACTCACGGCGTGCAAAACCATGCTTGCAAGGCGAAGGGAAGGGCATGTTACAGAACTTCAGTACTTTTTTTTTTTACCTATTTTAGTACATTGTATGTTTTAACATGATTTAAGACTAGTAAACAGGTTGTCATTTAAAATTTTACATTATTAGCTAAGTATAGCACTTATCATTTGATGACTTTTACCTAAACCATGTTTTAATTAAGTTAATTTTTTACTCAATTTTTTACCTCTATTTTTTAGAGTGTTCCTGTTGTCTGAGATATCACGCAAACAGAACTTGGGATGGGGCAAGGATCTCTTTGTCAGACTCATTCACTGGATTCAAGCAGTTCACCTCCAAGTTTGTAAAAAAAAAAGCGTCGGTGGTGTGATCGTAAGGAAATTCTGAATTCCGAAACTATTTCATGGGGAACGTGAATATTGAGCTAATGCAGTCGCACAAATGTGTCTTCCGAGAGGCCCTTAAGGACATGTATTTCCCATTGTCTGAAATTTCACGCGATAAAGAACAGGGGGACATGTTTAGGGAACAAGTATCTCTGTCCTTTACCAATGCATTTAGCCTTTGGCAGTAACCTCCAGGGCCATAAAAGTGGCCGCAGGTGTGAACCTTTGTACTCCGGTGTTTCGAAACCGTTTAATAAGGAGAACATTAACTCTTGAACACTCTTTCAACTAATATTTCAGAGATCCTATTTAGAACAACGAGCTTACAAGTTCCGTCAGGGAATCTTGACTTTGCGTGACGTGCGTAAGCAGGGTTAGACAGTTTATCATATACAAGAAGAACGTGGGATACATTTTGGGAACAAGGATCTCCTTGTCTCAAAACTGCTTCAGGAAGGTCAACTCTTAAGTTGTAAAACTTGGCGCCAATGGTGTTATCTTTTGTATTCTGGTATAATTGAAATTTTGGATGCCGAAACCATTTCATTGCAGTCACTCAAATGTGACTCCGTCGGGCCAGTCAACACGTCCTTTCCATTGTCCGAAACGTCACGTAAATAAATAACTTGGGGCGCATTTTGTGAACAAGGATGTCATCGTCGGTATCCCATGCGCTATGCTTTTAGGCGCTTCAACTGCAAGCTCACAAAACGTTGAGTAGACCACGTGCAATCTTTCAATTTTTGCGTTTGTAACCATTTAGAAAACATATAAACATAAGCCTATGGACAGTCTCGGTAAACGAGCATAATCATTGAAAAGACTAATTTCTGTTCCTGACCTTTGCTAAAGTTTTAGGGAAAGATTGAGAAGAGTGATTTGCATTACCTGATTGCATCATTTATCATTTCTTCGGTATACCCTTTTAATGTGGAAAAGTGAAAAGCCACTCTTTGAAGAGCCAAAGGGACAAGTCTTTTAGACTGGTTTTCTAATATTTTAGAATTAGGTTTAGGACTTTTTGAGTGAGTTTCAGTTTCACTCTAGCCCAAAGTAAAAACCAATCTGAACAATGATGGAAGTAACTATGTACGATTCTTGTCAAAGAGCCTTTAAGGGACCAATCGAAATAGGATGTTGGTGTTTTCACTCTTCTAAATGTAGAGGGTCGTGCGACGCATTTAATT